ATCGATTATTAACAAGAAAATTAGACAACTCTTTTGTCATTAAAAAAATATTTATATAATAGTGTAATTTTTTCTTTTATTTATTTTAAACAATAATTTTAGATAATAATTTGGATAAAAATATAAAAAATAAAAATAAAAAATAAAAAATAATTCAAGAATACTATATATATATATATATATACACATATATTAAAATAACTTTTATTTAAAGTAGATGATAAGATACAATTATTGTTATAATATTAAATTGAATTGGCCTTTTGACAAGTTGAATTATCAAAGGCTCAATTCTTTTATTTTCTAAAAAAATATTAATATAACTATAACAACCAATAAAGATTCATCAAGTATTTTATGTGTCTCTTATTTTACATTATGTTACAATCAATATACCATGAAGAAAGAAATTACCATCACCTCTTGATAAAATAGATAATAACTAAGAGTTCAAAGTAGAAGAAGTCTTTGATTCAAAGTAAAGCCAAAATTTTAAAAAATTAAAATATATATATATTGGTGCAAATGTAATATTAATAAATGTACATAAAAATATCTTATAAATGTGTCAAAAGTTGTTATTTCTTTTTATTGAATATATATATATATATATATATATATATATATATATAAATTAAAGACCAACCATAAATAATAAGATGGTATAATTTAAGAAGGAATAAGTTTAAAGATTAATTTATAGAACTTCTTTACAATGTAGAGATCCAATAGTTGAAAGATTTATCTCAAAAATTATTATTTGCAAAAATACCAAAAGATGTACTTATGTTGTTCCAATCTAAATAACATTAAAATTTTAATAGAGGTCCTTAAAAGATATATGTTTTTTTTTCAAATAAGTAGCAAAATAATAATACATTTAATACCATGATCTTAAAAAAGACTCTCAATGATTAATAAAAATATTAGAGGTTTATACTATAGTAAATAACATAAAAAATAGTTTATTTAAAGATAGTAAAAAGACCTCAAAAATAATCTAATAATATAATAATCTCCTCAGTTTTTTATATAGAACATTATCAATAGTTAAAAAAACCTATGAATAGCTTTAGGTAGAATATTAATTTAAGTGAGCTAATAATATGATTTTATAAATTTTAGAATTTTTTAATTTATAATATAATTTGATTGCTTAATCTAAAACTCATTGTCTATGAAGAGATAATGAAACAAAATAAATAGAAGTACGTAGAAATAAGTAGAAACATATTGAAAAGATAATATCTTTTTAAGAGCTTGGCAAATTTTTTTAGATGCAAATTAGATATTTAGACTTTTACAAATATACATCATGTAGCTATTTAAAATTATTTTATAAGTTTTTTATTTTTAAAATTTATATTTTAAATAATTTACAACTTAGAAATTTGGCCACAAATCTTATAGTTTCTATGAATTTAAAAAAAACTTCTTTGTTAGCTAAAATAAAAGAAGTAAGATTGTGGTCATTCTTAGTTTTATCAATATCTTTCTTATGTTCTAATTTTTTGTTAAGATTCTTTAGATTCTTTGTAATAAATAATAACCATTTCAATTTCTTTTTAGTTTAATATTATCTCTTACTTATCTACTTTCTTTCTTGTAGTAATACAAAAACATATCATTTCCTCTTATATACACAAACTAATGTGAATTCTTAAATCTTTCAATCCCACCTTCTCAAATCATTATTTTTTACCATTTTATAACCATTAAAAAGCTTTTAAAGATTTTTCATTAAAAATAATTTGGAATGTTCTATATCTAAATAGTTATTTTTAAAAAATGATTATTTATCAATAATAATTTTTAATTAATATGAGTATAAAATATTTCAAAATAAATTTTTTGAAATACTTCATAAATATTTTTTATTGTAAAACAACTAAAAATTCTAGCTTTAATTTAATAAAAATAATACTATGGAAATATTATTAACAAGTATAATATCATTTTGTTATATATGAAGGTTTTGTAGTTTTGAAATTATATGGCAAAAATATAGGATTAATCACATAATTATTTTTTTTTAATTTGAGCGATTATTGAATCAAATCCATTTTATGTTATTTTTTATGATTTTTGTGCAAGTCATTAAGAAATTCTAAGCTTTTACTAACTTATAAAGCATTCAAATTTGACAAATCTGTATATTAAACTTTTACAAAGTTGTGTGAAATTTTATATTGGCTCATATTCATACAAATGTGACTTTGATTTAAAACATTAGTGTTTTACATTTAATTATATACAAAAAAAATATAAAAATAATATGTATTTAATAATATATTCTAATAATTATAAGTTTTTGAATTATTATCATTTCATTGGCTTAATTTGACAAAATTTTAATATAAATAAAAGGCAAACCTTATTGATTAAAAAATCATTTCAATAGAAAAAATCAAAGATTTAAAAAGTAGCTATATATATATATATATATATATATATATATATATATATATAAACCAACTACCAATATTATTAGTTTACTTAATAATAATAATAATAATAATAATAATAATAATAATAATAATAATAATAAAATAACTAATAAAAATATAATTTCAACTACTTTCTACTTAATCTAAATTATAATTTATATAAAACACACAATATACTAAATGTTCTATTATCAATCAATTTTAAGTAGATTTTAGTTATTTATTATAGACATAATTATTTGATCAAGTAGAAATGTCATGTTAATTTATCATATTAGTGATTTTAGTAAAATTCTATCACTATTTAAATTTAATAGATATTTTATAAGTTTTCTTTTGGTAATACATTTTAATATTTGATATTACAAAAATAATATTATATTATTAGAAAGTTAGAAATATATATTTTTATGAACCTTGAAATAGTAATATATAAAAATGTGCCACAGATTTTGTAATTTGTGTTAAATTTTAACTATTTTTATTTATGTTGTCCAAATTCTTCTGTATGTGTTTATATATTAATTTTATTTTATCAATCTTAATTTTTTTTTAAATATATATATATATATATGAATTCTTTACAATTACATAATCTTAAAGAATGTTAATCTGTTTCTTTTTTATAAATATTACTGATATGAGATGTTCTAATTAATAATAAATATCCTAAAATACAATTAGAAAATTTATTTTTATTAAATCTATTCAATCTTTAAATTGATTGTTTTTTTAATCTATAGTAAAGGAGTATTTTTATTTTTACACTGTCTCAAATTAATGTAAATAAAAATAGAATTGCACAATGACATCATTAAGAATATTACATAAATTCTATAAATTTTGGAGTCGTATCTTTGATAGTATGCAAAACCACAACACAAAATCAAAGAAAAACCTTGTCTAAAACCCTAAGCGGGTCGGTTCATTTCGGAAAACACTTGCACAAATTTTTAGACAAATTTCGGCGTCGGCGGAATGATGCAGAGTGGCACTGAGTCGCCAATCGTCGAAGTATTGCGCACAAATCGCATGCATACGATGAATCACAAGTCTGTGTGTGGTCTGGTTCGAGTGGTATTGTTCACGGTGGCTAGAAACTCGATCTGAGACGGTGTGTCCATCTGATTTCGGTAGATGGTGTCGATCAGGTTCACTGGTCTCGCCACACCGCATGTGCTCACTTGCATAATCCTGCAAGGAGGGATACTGGTCTTGTTGATGCGGGTTTGTAAAGCTAGACAGGACGATGAGCGGCGATTCAATGACAGGCTTGGCGTGGTAGGAGATGAGTTCGCATTTGGAGAGTCGTCAATAGACTTGAGGATCAATCGTGTGCTGAGTATTGCCGATGGTGGCGAACTGGGGGGATGATTTGTTAATGTGGGGTGAGATAGATGAGCGGGTCGGTGTGCGGTATGGACCGTTGCAACGCAAACTTGGACTGCCAGACTTTTCGCTCCGGCGTTCTGGGTATTAGAGACATGTAGGGAGTGAGAGTGTGCTCGCAAACATCCTAACCGATCTTCCGCACAAGTTTCCATTCTTGCAGTTGGGCAGAAACGATCACATGGGGAGCCTGGGTTGCTGCGACCGCGGCGAATGGAAAACCTCGCGAGGGCCACCGCAAACACGGATGCAATCTAAAACCCAACAGCCGGCGAGGAGACACGAACTTCATTCACTGTCCGAATGTTGAGAACGAGAGTGGCGTTGAGAAGGAAATCAGCCGCGATGCGTGTGGGTTGCGGCATTGCAGCTGACACCGGCAGATGGGGTCGTGTTGTGGGGAGCCATCGAGGGTGAGTGATTGGATTGGATGTGGTGAGTCCCGGCAAGACTTGAGATCAGTGGAAATGTCATGTGAGAGCACTGATGCCCACGGGGGTTCGCCACAGTCGGCGGCGTCGGCCGCGTCGGCGCAGGTTTTGAAGCCCATTGTCGCCGCTGTTAAAGGCACAAGTCTTGCCTCGTATTCTGGGAAATGCCTGTACATTTTGTTTACTGACATTAATGTTATTTATGTCTTCAGTTCCTGCCTTAGTTTTCATCAACTGTCATACCTGCTGACTGGTATAAATACCTTGTGCTAGGAGAACACTTCCTACTGAAATTCTTGTCAAAATTCAGCTTTAGATACTTATCATGTTCACTCTTTCAATTCAACAAGATCTGGAACGTACGAGGGTTGGACTTGAAATTTGTAGTTGGATGGCTCGTCTTTACTATTCTGCTATTATTATCAATCAGATGATAAGGCTTAGACGTCTTCTACACACATGAATTCTAGACCTCACATGGACTGGTCACAAGTTTTCAATAGTTATTGCAAGTGGGAGACCAGTACGGGTGTGACACATAAACTGACACAAGTTTGTTGACTGAGTTCAATTAGTAGTTTTACATAGAATTTAGCTATTTAACGCAGTAATTGAGATCATCTACATCCTATGTTGTGGTCATACACTAAGCTATCGTCTAAAAAGTCAAATTCACTTGCACAATTATAGATATATGTATTAAGTACAAAGCTGCTCATCACGTGAAGCTCCTGAAGCCCTCAAGAAAAGGTGGCATTCATACATTAAAACACTCATAAACGACATCATAGCACTCCACTTTCACTAAACAATTCCTCACTGCTCTGCATCTTTTGATAAATTTCAACCCAAGAATTTGGCAAATTCATGATACACGCTGTATCTGAAATACATGGTCAATAATATGACATCCAACCTACAAACTACAACCTCTCCAATCTTAAACGAATAACTCAGAAAAAAGTTCATTTTGGTTCATGCCATTCTGAAGAACTGAAACTCACCAATGCACACAGTACACGGTTTTGCTGAGCTTCAACTTCGGCATCTCTTTTCAACACCATTGGAGAGCGTTACAAGATAGTTATGAGACTTGCAAGATGATGAACCCTGGGCCTCCAAGAGTTATTAATCAGAGAAACAAAAACAAGGTAAAACAGATACCCTGACCAGTTGCAGGCATCTGCACAGGACACCTTCTGAAACGCGTTTCAAGAGCAAATTGCGCATGAATTTAGAAAGGCTCCGTCCAGACAGGAGTCGCCAAGTTGAAGAAATCTAGGACTCCGTGATTGCTTGGCTGGCAGCCACCTTCAGTGCAGGTGCCTTTGTCAGCTGGCTGTAGTTTCCCTTCTCCTTGAAGAGCTGAGAGTAATGAGGTTTGCAGTACAACCGTCCTTCCAAAGCAGCATAATTGGAGGGGCTGATAGTACAGCCGCCATGAACACATTTAAAGCATTGCTTGTGGTACGGCAAGCCTTCCACCGTTGTCTATCATAAGCAACAGACTCTCCTTAGATATTTCCATGATAGTCATGAAATTTCTTCTTACATCACTAATTCGACCCAAGTACGAGCAGAACTAATACCACAAGAGGCAAGGGATCGACGCTTTGTAACTATGACACAAAAGCAGAATGCTATCAAAACAAGGGATGCAAAGTATACCGTTAACCTCAATGAACAGTGAGTTGAAGAGCTGTTAAGTATGCTTAGACAAAGACAAAACATCCGATAAGCAGTGATCAGTGCCACCATCCAAGGTTTCACAGCATTTCAAACACCATGCACCACAACAGCTGGAATGTGTAGGTTATACCTTTTCAATGGGATACACAGTTTTGCTGCAAGCAATGCACTTCTCCTGAGTTCCAGAAAACATGAGAGATGCTTTTGATGGTGCCTTGTTCTGCAACACAAATACAAGTACTTAAATATGGTTGTAAACGTGAGAAACATACTATCTGCAGAAGAAAGCTTGACGCTGGAAACTTCACAGCCTGAAATTGAAAAATATATATTATTTTTACTAAAGCATTTCTATAAAAAAATTATAGTTTGATAATGAAAGTAACGATTCTTGGATCAAATATTGATAAAAATAAACCAAATCGAGAACATCCCCAAAATGGTCAAATTGAAGCCATGAGAACATCGCTAACGAATAAGTGCATTTAAAAATCATGTAAAGTCAAACGTACCTCTCCTTTCTCAGCCTTTTTCAATCCTGTTGTCCACCCAACAAGAGACAATCACATTTTCAGTTTCAGTCACTTAAACAGGTTATACGGAATGTAAAAATGTACGAAGAGAGCCACATGAGAACTGCTTCAGTGGTACGAACCTTCAGAAGGCTTGTGTTCGAAACTCTTGTCAAAACTCCCAGTGACCTTTAAAAGCTGCTCAAAGTGTGGCTTGCAGTAGAGCACTCCTTCTAGAGACGCATAGTTTGCAAGCTGTTTGCACACAGATATTAATTAGCTCCGTAGCTTTATAACAGGCTGATAGGTACAGCGACTCGGTTAGTGCTAGGAAGACTTAACAGAACAAAAGAGAAAACTGAACCAACAAGACAAACTGTGGTTTATACACTGCTTTTTAGTGAGAAACAGCCACGAATACTGATTTTGAAAATGCAGGGAAGATCACATGTGGAATGACACCATGTGCGTTTTCATACACGCATGTGTTAAAAAAACGTCCAACACGCACAAGCAGAAGGAAAAGACCCGAGAATTCAAACTGGCCGATACTCAGCAAACGTAGAATTTCCAAAGCTATTTTCTGTGAACTGCCACTTAGCCATCTGGATATTGAATGAGCGATGCAATGCTCACGCTCTCCAGTAGTGACGCGCAAAAGTGTTGCAATTGGGGGGGGGGGGACAAAAAAGACAAAAATTGTGTAGAGAGACCACAGTCCAGGATTATAACCGCATCGTTAGGGATTAGCAGGAAATATCAGTTCCGGCGGATAAAGCTCCGAAGCTTTATATGTCGAGCTGCTGTCCACTCGGATCATAGCACGAATTCAATCAGATTGCAAGACGATTAACTCACCATTAGGCCCCGTTGAATTATCTCTCTAACATCACGAACACGAGGAAAACCTAAAGGCGATTATATAGATCTACTGAAAGACTGGACAAAATGCACCTAAACGACGCACAATAAAAGGTCGCGGTATTCCCGAATCGCCCTACCCAACCAAGCCGCCCTAAATCTCTTCTTCAACATCTCCCTATTCGTACCGCAATACGCTCACCATAGTGAGACCGCCTTCGATATCATTTCCAAGAAGCTACATCACAACCACAAAAATCGTCGCCACGGAATCCAATCCACCACTTGTTCCAACCCCGCCCCCCTTTCTATTCCTTCCTTGACTGCGGCATCGAAACCGATAATCGCAAACTACGCAAAAACATAGCGCCACATACACTCACCGACATCCAACCTCAATCTCAGCCAGACTCCGGATCACTCCACTCTACTCCGAAACATAAGCAAAGCGGCATCGGAGGAAGAGTCGATCCCGCTACTAACCTTGAGAGTCCCTTTGCAATGGTTGCATCGGAAGCAGGATTTGTGATACACGACCCCGTCAGCCGTGAGCTGCTCCACTAGGTACACCGTCTTCTCACACGCCTTGCACTTCTGCGTCGTCCCGGAAAACGCCATCTCTCTCCGCTTGCTTGCTTACACAGTTTCTTCTCTCTCTCCCTCTCCCTCTCCCTCTCTCGCTCTCCTCTTCTCCGCTCGCTCTACTCGTGCACTGTTTCTCACAGCGAGATCGACCCGCAAAGTTCCAGAACGAGAGCAACGGCAAAGGCTGTTTTGGACGGAGCTTGGTGCTTCCCCCGATAACCCCCTCGGGGACGACGACGACAGTGCTGTTGCCAAGCAACCACTTATTCTGGTGAAAGCGAAGACGAAGACGACGGAGGCTCCGCGCCTCCGCGTTGTTCGAAATTCCTCGTTCTCGTCCGTCGCCTTTTTGCTTTTTTCCCCTCCAACCCCCGAGTTTTCCTTTTCTCCGCCCCTTTGACTTTCTCGGCTCGGCCTTCCTTGCCTAATATCCATATTCATGTATTGCCATGATGTATTGATGAGATCCTTTGATTCTATAAGGACAAACTACTTGTCAAAAGTCCAGTACTCTTTTATTAATTTTTTGCCATTTTTTTAGGAGTGTGCTTGAATTCAAATTTGTTGCAATGCTTCTATGTCTGATTGATAATGATGATACTTTTGAGAATTGAATTTCTTCATTGGGGAATAAGATAAAATATATTGTCAGATATCTACTATACAGATTAAAATTATTTGACCTAAAAAAAACAAGCATTTAATTCACATATTAGTTTATGTTCAAATTGGATAAGTAAAGCAACTTGATACAGAATTAGCATGAAATATCAAATAAATTCCAACACTAATTATGTTACATTAAATGTAATATAAATTCAAAAGTAGGAATTTTATAAAATTAATGTATTTAGAATTATTCAAACTTTAATTATTTGGATACATAAAAATGTTTGTGATATTTTATAAACTATCAAAGTGAATCTACCAAACTAAAAACTTTGATATATCTGTAAAATAAGAAAGCTTATGTATAAAACAAATGGACAAACAAGCCTTCCCATTGGTGAAAATCAAATTAATTGTTAAACAGCAAAAAGCCTTGAATATCCTACAAAAAATAATTCCAGAATATTATTTATAAACAGCTTTTTGTGCCCAATGGCACAAGTTTTTACTAGTATGTTTGTCTATATATAAGTATTATTATATTTTATTACATTCAAACTATGATTTATAAAAAATTAAAAAAAAATAAAATAAAATTGTAATACTATAAAATCATATGTTTCTTAAAATAATCTATCGTAATTTTTTTAAAATAAAAATATGAGAAAAAAATCAATTCATCATTCTTAAATTACATAATAGAAAAAACATTTTAAAACATAGTATGAAATAAAACTAAAAAATTATTAATTTCTTTTTATAATATCATGAAAAAAAAATTGAAATTAAATATATATATTTTAACCTTAAATTTTAATTAGCATCAAATGAACGTGTTAAATTTATTTAAATATTTTCATTTCTTCTATATCAATCTCAATCAATAAACCATAACAATTTAATATATAGGACTAATTATAAAGTCAAAATCAAGTTTATACTAACACAGGTCCTATTGAAAGGATTTTTATTCTTGTTGGTTAATTATTCTATTTATTACATTGGTTTTAAAATGGTTTAATTAAAAATAAAATAAAAAGTAAACCATTAATCAATAGAATTATGTTATAAAATATGTTTATTATAAAATAAAATTAATTTTTGAACAAAGAATACTCAAATGTTTTGATACATTAATTCATGATCCAAGCAATTATTTTTAGTAGTACAACAATAAAACTATATTTTGTTACAAATTTTGAATTATAAACATATCTTGAAGAGATACTTATACAAGGATTATTTTTTTAAGTTTTATTTTTTGTTTTTTCATCAATAGTAGAAAATCCAATATGTAATATATAAATTGTAATTTTAAAAAATATATATATATATATATATATATATATATATTACCAAATAAAATATACTATTATTTTAAAAAAATTAAAATTAAAATTAAAAAAATTAAATGGATTTTACCAAAATCTATAATTTTTAATGGTTTAAGTTATTATGTAATTCGTAACTATTAAAAATAACTATGTAAATAATATCAAAGAAAATTTTCTTAAAATTACACAAAATATGAGGAAATTTTATTTAAAATAATAAAATTTAAAGTAATTAAAGTATTATATGTAAATTGTACTTCAAGAGTGTGTTATTGTCATTGACCTTCTAAAATGCATTAATTTCTTTTAATATGTAAAAGATTTTTTCATACTTAATTGTATTTAAAACATCATGATATTTAATTTTAACATATATTTTTTTGTACAACTACATAAAATCTATCAATAAATACATAATTAATCACATTTTCAATTTTATAAGATAAGGGTGTAATTAATCTCATTTTAGAAATATTAATTTGATATTTTTTAAAACCGAATTTTTTAATTGATTTTGTCTTAAATGCATATGTGGCACCTAAATCAACTTTTTTGGATATTTAAGTTTATTTGTGGTTAATTTAAAGCTTATTATTTAGTTTCTTTTAATTTAAATAATCCTACTTAGAATATAATATATTCTATATATCTAAAATTATTTTATTGCATATGGTTATATACTATATTAAAAGTAGTTTAAAGGTATTTCTTTATTGTATATAGCTAACATACAAATTTTACTAGTATACTTGAAAGTGATTTTTGTATTGAAACAAAATCAAACCAATATTTTGAAACATAATATAAAAGTATCTAATAGTATATATTGTATAATATGTCATCCCACTTTTATTTTTTAAAAAATTTTGTATGTTTGTTAGATGATCTAATGTCAATTCCACTAGAAGATTATAGTTTTAAAGAAGAATAGTTTCAAGAAAAATAATTTGAAGGAAAAAAAATAGATTTTTACTTCAAGATTCATTTGTGAAAGAGATTAAACAAGTGAAATTAGATATAATAAATAAGATTGTAATTGAAGAACAAAACCTTGTAAACATCAACATGTAATACCACAAATGATTGAACAAACCTCCAAATTGTTTTATCCAGGATTTAATATGAGGGGAATGTTAAATAGACGTTTCCTGGTTGACGTTGATACTCTTGCTGAATGGTTCTTGGAGAGCGCTGGGGGCTGGTTTGATTTGTGCTGTGAGCCTCGACGGTCAGACTAAAGACAACCAGGAGCTTGTCGCCAATTCCGTAGGCAGAGTGCATCGTTTTCGAGGCGTAACAAACCTGAGAGTATGTTTCGCAACCTGAAACCCTAGCCCTAATCACTAGCCAGCAGCTTCATGGATGTCTGAGCTACTTCAAGCCCTAATTACCAGCCAACAGCCTAATCAGCTTAATGAACGACTTAGGCCACCCCATTCAACAGCTGCTTTACTTGAGTTCTATGCAGAAACATTGTCTACTGTTTGGGGTTCTTTCAATCTTCGACGGCTTATTGCCTGACACCATGGCTCCAGGTTTCTAGTATGATTTCTCCAGATTATTTCTATTGAATTGTAAAGTTGTGCAATTTGATCAATGCTTATGTACAAAGGAGTGAATATACAGATATTGGAATTCAACCACTCTTAAATTTCGACTCAAAAGACAACTTTGTGGGTTAATTATCACATGTCAGCTGGTCTGATGACTGAGATTCAAGCTTTCGAGAGGTTATATTGCAATAGAAGCAAAAATAGAAAATAGTAGGAAAAGTAGTTTAAAGATATACCTATTAGAATAGTGTTATGTAACAATTTTTAAAACTAATTCACAAGAGAATTAAGAAATAATTAGTTTTAAATTTTTTATTTAAATGAACAAACCTAATAATACAATAAATATTAAAAATTTGAATAAAAAATGATAGAAAAAGATAATTTTAACTTTTGAATGTTTCTAGTGTATAAAAGCTGTAGACATTACTCATTTATAACTTTATAGAACAAGTCTCATATTAAACCAAATAATGATAATGAATAAGGCTAATATAATATTTGAACATTATTTCAAGAAAAAAATTCAATTTAAGAAATAAAAATGCTAATAAAGGATTTAAGAAGATTAGTATATTTTTAAAAATAATGGTTGTAAAAAATTAAATTTTAAACATATAAGATTTATAATAGAAGTTTTTTTTAAATATGTATTAAAATAAGTCTTATATATTTAAAATATATTATAAAAATCATATAATAGAAGTTTTTTTAAAATATTTTATAATATCAATAAAAAATTATATAATAGAATTTTTTTAAAATATATATTAAAAAATATATTATTTTTATTTTTATTTTTATCCAAAATTATAAAGTATAATATATAATTATAAAATTATTATGGTAAAACTAATGATTAGAGAAATTAATAAAATTTAAGAATAATTAGTAATTTAAACATAATTAAGTTTTTATAACTTCATTGATGATTAAGATAATTGCCTTCAAAGACATTATAACTAAAAAAGTTATTGATTATTTTTAATCTAATATATGATAAACTTTTTATATCAATATATTATATATATATTTTTTTTAAAAAAAAAATAAAATCAATTATATTTTATTAATGTAATAATACATTATTAATACACACTTTTTGTAAGGATAAAATTTATCCTTCAATCCAAATTATAAGATGGCCTTAATTAAGAGTTCTTAGTAATTGATGGTATAAAAAAAGACAAGCAAATGACAATGACAAAAGAAGAACAAACACAAAAGAAGTGAAAAGAATGTATTCAAGCAATTACACACTTCAAAACTTAGTCACAATTTGTTCATTGGATTTTCATCCAATAAAAGATAAAAAATAAAAAATCATATTTTTAAATATATGATTTTATTATCTTCTTAATAATGTAGAAAATATATAAATATAATTTATTATAAGTAAATTATGAAATTTTAAAGATAAAAAATAAATAATAAAAAAATTAAGTAAAATTAATTTTACCTCAATGATAATTTGCTTATAAATCAAGAATTCAAATCCTACTAAGTCTCACATGTAAAGTATATAGATGTCTCAGAGAAGACTTAGTCTTATCCTCCTACATACACATAAGGTGCAACAATCCATGTGAGACTTGTGCACTTCTTGTTCCACACTAACTATTGGTCTTCATATTTTCTACTATTAGAGCGATATTTTTTGCATTTTTTGACTTCATTTTGGTATTCTAAAATATCCATTTAGCCTTGGAATGTTGTATAGTATTCAAAACTTGATCCATTTCTTCATAGTAGCTTCTAAGGTGGTAAAACTTAATTTTACTAAAATCTTAAAAATATTACTAATTTTTTCAAAA